TATCTTTTTACATGTTTAAAGCCCATTTGCATCTTTGTATTTTTAGCAACTGTGTATTAGGGATCTTCACCCTCGTAATATAAGTCACAAATATATTTCCTCAGCTTGTAATTTATGTTTTGACTTTTCTAATGCTGTGTTGAGGAGCTCTGATGGCATGGTGAGTTAGACTTGGGGCTGCTAATCTGAAGGTTGACAGTTCACACCCACCCGCTGCTCCTAGGAATACAGGTGATGAGACTATCTGCTCTGGTCATGTACAGTCTCAGAAACCCTAGGGAGCAGCTACACTGTCCTGCAGGGTTGCTGTGTGTCAGAATGGATTTGGTGGCAATGGGTTTGGTAACCTTGTGTTATGTCTTAAATGTATTCAGATGTATCAGTCTTTTCCCTTTGTCTGGATTTTGACTTACAGGTTTCCTTCTGGTTCTTTACCTGGTTTTGTTTTTCCAGTGATCCTAGTATCACTTCATGAAAGATTCATCTTTCCCCACTTACGGGTGAGGCTACTTTAATAGTGCCCCCAAATAATTATATGAACAGGGTCCTATTTCTGGATTTTTGTTTCTGTTTTCTTGATCTGTGTATTCATGGCTGCTAGTTCTCACCAGTCAAGCTTTTTTTTTTTTTAACTTTTTATTTGAATCGAATGAAGGTTTACAGACAAGATCACTAGTTTTCCATGCAACAAAAATCATACACTGTTTCTCAGTGATGCAATCCTCTACATGCAACATTATCCTGCTTCCTTCTTGGGCGTTCTTATTCCATTCCACCCTCCTTCCCATCGCTTGTCAACATTGTCCTGAGGCAAATGTTGCCCTGTTGATTTTGAATGATTGACTATTCCATGGTGAGCATACCTTATGCGTGTTGTCCCCCTATCTACTGCTTGGCTGAAAACTGGGTCATGAGGGTGAATTCCTTTCCAGACCCGAAGGGGGGTTGAGAACCATAGTCTTGGGTTCCTCCAGTCTCTTTTTGCTCAGTAAGCTTTTTTAAAATGTAATTTTGAGGTGTTTTTTTTCCCTCCGGCTCTATCCAGGACCTGCTCATGTGATCCCATTCAGAGCACTACACTGTTTTTCTTTCTCTGGATTTTCATAGTTATTCTGGCTTGTTCTTCCCAATAACCTTTATAATAAGAATAGTGCCTAATGACAATGTCAATGTCCTGGAAATGATGTTAAGCAATATAGTAACACTATATACAAGGGGGACTTCAAAAAAGTTTGTGGAAAAATAATAATACTGTAATTTTTTCCATAAAATTTTTTGAAGCCCCTTGTCCATATGCATGCTTTTCTCACAGAAAAATATTGGAAGACAAAACACCAACATGTTGGTGGGGGATCTCTGGATAGTACAAGTGGGTAACCTGAGTTTGTTGTGGTACAGAGCTTGATGCAAAAAGATTGCTACCACCACAAGGCTGCTTTTACCTTCTTCATCTCTACCTCATCCCTGTGCCACTCAAGTGAGATCTACTTTGACTTGTGGAGGGTTAGCAGTGGCAGACAGAGCTATTTAGGTCCTTTTCTGCAGGGAAGGAGTGCATTACAAAAGGAAGGTTCAAGTGCATCAGATTCTCCCTCTCTCTGGAAGCCCTATAATCCTGTTCTCTATTGTCAGATGCCCTCAGTGATATTGGGGGTTTTCTAAGTCTCTCAGGAGTCAGGGTTCTAAGAAGTATGGGGAACACCAAGGGCCGGCCTCTTACCAAATTCGTATTTTGGCCCAACATACTCCAAAATAATGTTGTGTTTAAGAAAATGTTCTAAGTCTGTTCTGTCCAACATGCTAGTCACTAGCCAAATTATGACTGTTAAGCATTTAAAATGTGTCTGGTACAACTGAGGAGCTACATTTTACATTTTGTTTACTTTTAATTAGACTGGCTACATGTTGAACTCAAACATACCAGTGATCATTAAGGTGGCTTAGGACTGGGCAGTTTCAGTCTGCTATACAAAAGGTCAGCCAGTGCTGGAGCTGACTAAGACTGGTGGCCCATTCCAGCCCAGCCAGGGCCTCCACTCCAGCCAAAGGTGGCAAAGGCTCCCAAGGCTGGGCAGAGGTGACCCCTGGTTTTGCTAACAGACCATACACACGTGCCCTGCAGGAGGGGTCCAGCCTGAAGCAGCTCCCCCATCTCTACCCCAGAGGCCATCACAATGGCAGCCAGCCCAGCATCACAATGCCACAGGTGGGAGGCTGAGCAGCAGCCCAGCAGCCCCGCAGGGCATTTCCCTCCAGGAACACTTCTCTTTGTCTGCAGACCTACTTACAGCAACCTAGGCCTCAGAAGTTCCTGTATCTTATGGAAACGCACCCAGCAGGTCTCAGGCTGGAGACCCGCAGGAGGAGGCAGGGCAGGCGTGGAGGGGTTCAGGAGTCTGACACTGCCCCAGGGTCCGGATGCTGCAAGGACCAACAGCAGACAGAGTACTCTGTGAGCACTGAGCAGTTGCTCCTCATCTTCCTGGCGATTTGGTTCTTCTACTTCTTCTTTCTTCAGAACTACTTCTGACTGGCCCCCCTTCTGCCTTCCCAGGGGGTGACTGGCATGGCCCAGGCCCTGTGGGTGAGGACAGAGAGACCCAGGGCTGGAGGACAAGGCCTCACTGGGAAACCAAGGGGATGGAGAGTTAGAGGCTGGAACCGTCTCAGAGGGATCCATGGCCACACGGCCCAGAATGAGCTCCGGACCTCCAACCAAATGAAGGATATGAAAAATGAAAGAAAATCATGTAGAGGCAGGGCCTGTCACCCCCTCAAGGCTGAGGTCCTGAATCCTCCCAGGTAGTCAGGGGAGCTTAGTTCGGCCAGCATGTCCACCAGGAAGATGCGTTGTCCCTGGTCCTGGGCTCTGGTGAGAAATAAACTGCCCAGTGAGCCAAGTAGCAGCAAGAGAATTTTTTCCCCATTTTTCCAGGGAAGCAGTCCAGTAGTGACTGGTACATTTCTGGTGGGAGTGGTGAAAAGATGACTTCCTTTTGGGAGCATCTTTAGAAGGTGGTGGGCCTAGTGGTGCAGTGGTTAAGCATGCGAATGTTAAGGTCTGTAGTTTGAACCCACCAGTTACTCTGTAGGAGAAAAGATATGGCAGTCGACTTTCATAACAATGTATAGCCTTGGAAATGTTATATTGTTAAGTGCCACTGAGTCGATTCCGACTCTTAGTGACCCTGTATCAAGTTTCTGAGGAGTGGCTGGTTTGAACTGCCAACTTTACTTATCCTACAGTGCTACACCAAGACCCCTGGAAATCCTATAGGAAAGTTCTATTCTGTTCTGTAGGGTTGCTATCAGTTGGACTGGACTTGACAGAGTAGGCTTTGTTGTAAAATAAGAATGGATGTCTCTAAAGATGTAGATGTGGCTCTATGTGGACACAGGGCAGGGACTGTCCACCCAGTGGCTGCCATGCCTGGTCCCACCAGAGTTGGATGGAAACCCTGAGGCAGTGGTTAAGTACTCCTCGGGCTCCTGACAACTGGCCTTGGTCAGGCATCTTGGCACTTTGTGCTTTATTTTCACCTGATGTTGGTATAAATAAAACCATGGCTGTGTGTCATGGGCAGGCGACGGCTGCTTCTCACCCTTCTGAAAATGGCTAGGCACATCAAGGTAAGCACCACCAAGAAGCAGGAGGGGTGTGTACCATAAAAAGTCCCCCAGGAATGCTGAAAATTGCAGATTCCCCAATTCCAAGCCCAGGTACTCTAAATCTGGGGGTCTGGAGCCCCAGAATCTGAATTTTTAGCAAACCCTATCTCCCCTGTGGCAGCATTGATGGACTCAAGTGTGGCAACAGTAGTGAGATTGGCTCAGGATCAGACATTGTTTCGTTCTGCTGTGCATAAGGTCGCTATGAGTCGGTGCTGACTCAACGGCACCTAACAACATCATCTCCCCACCAATGTAAGGAATATAATTCTATCTCCTTGTGTGTGAAGCAGCCTCTTTCCCTGAGAAGTGACAGCAGCAGGCCTGAGCAAGGTTGGGAGAGAAGGGCTCTGACTAGTCTCCGCCTGCCTACAGCTACCTGTAATGAATCTGCCTATGATTAATCACAGGGAGAAGATAAGAGGCATCTCTGGGCTGCTCCTTCTGGTACCTACTCAGAAGGGAATGGGGAAGAGCTTGGAGCATTTTCTCATAAACATTCTAGTGACTAGAATCTATCCCGTATAGCCAACAGAGTTGTTGAAATAAGTTTCCCAGAAGGACTCCATGTGGTTACAATTTGAATGGAAAGCAATGTGGCCTAAAACAAGTGGTTATGGACCTCAGCAGCCCACGCTGCTGGCTCCTCCATCAGGAGTGCTGAGCATAGGCAGGCCCTTCCCAGAGGAAGGCTTCTCACCCTTCCCCCACCAAACCCTGAAGTTGGGCCCTCACAGCAGCCATCTGAAAAAGCGGAGCCAGGCTGCCTTGGGAAGAGCTGTGGAAGTGCGTTGGGGGTACGAGGATGACAGATTAAGGCATGTTACCAAGAGGAAGCTGACAGCTGATGTCAACACTCACTTTATTAAGGCTCACGTGGTCTCCCAGTGTTGGGGAGGGAGGCTAAGTCACTCGCCCCACAGACCACCCCACATGGTTCACTTCAGGGTGACTGAAGGCGAAGGAGTTCCTGTGGGTCGGAACCAGGGTGTTCTGCTCCACTCACCACTGCTGACTGGGTGGGGAATGCGGACAACTCAGGGGCCCTCGGCAAGTGGGGGGCTGGCTCCAGCAGGCTCTGAGGTCTGGCAGGGTGAGAGACAGGGAGGCACAGGAGGGCAGAGACAGCACCCTTGTCCCTCTGAGCACAACCTATGGCTTTGTTATCCTGTTGCCACTGCAGCAGGCAGGTCACAGGCCCTCCTCCCACCCTCGTGTGTTACACTGAGGTGATAAAGGAAAAGACCCCTGGTAAAGAAAAGGAGGCTTAGGAAGCCACTGGCACCCCACTTGTGCCTGCGGACTGGCCAGACCTCAGGACCTGTGACTCCTGGAGATGGGCCCCTCAGAAGTGGACCCGCAGCACGTCTTGGCTGGCGACTGGCTGCTGGCAGGCTGTGCACATCATGGGCAAGGACCGCTGCTTCTCACTCAGGCAGGGGCGGCACAGGAGGTGGCCACAGGGAAGCTGGTATACAGGCTCCTTCTTGAAGTAGGGCGAGAATACTCTTTGGCAGGTGGAGCACTCAGGGCCCTGGCTGCTCCCAGGCTGCTCTGATAAATGAGGGAGGAAAGTAGGCCAAGGTGAGGGAGGCTATTTCTGGGGACAGGCATCCTCTTAGAGACAGGCATGTGAGGGGAGTGGGAGAAACTGCCCACTACAGACACCCATTAAAGCTGCAGCGACCCTGCTAGTTCCCTCTGGCTGATTGATCTGGGAGGAGAGGTGGGAGGGAGCTGGGGAAAACAGAAGGTCTCATTTCTATCACCCTTCATCCTATCTCTAGACTCTCATAAAGGCTCAAGAAAAGTTGGCTTCTGAGGGCAGTCAGGCAGAACTGAAGCCTTTCTCCTGGCCTCCCAGAAAGACACTCTCTCCCAAGGTCCCCAGGACAGCGGTCAGAACAAGGCACAGGCTCACCCTGAAAATCAAAAGCTACAAAAAGTGATGGGTTAGGAAAAAGGAAAAGCAGAAGATGGCAGTGTGTGTCCCAGGACTGGGGCAGCCTAATCAGGAGGAGGCCACCAGACCTGCCTGCTGAATCTGGTGCTGGTTTCTCTTCAGCCCTACAGCCCCAACAGTGCCCCTGCCCAGCTCCCCTCAACCTCCATCCAGTGCTGCACAGCCTCCTGGACAGGCACTTTCCTGCCACACTTCCTGCAGGGCTTTCCCGAATGAATGAATGCCACAGTGCTACATAGGTCCTGCTATACACACTCCTGGTGTGGCACTGTGGGTTAATGCGCCAAACTGCAAAGCCATATGAACTGCAAGGTCGGCGGTTCAAGCTTACCAGTTGGTCTTTGGAAATCCTATACAGGGTCGCTATGGGTCGGAACCGACTTGATGGCAGTTAACAACATACACACTCCTAAGTAACTGGCTTATGATCCTTTGGCAGGCCTGGGCTTACCTGTCCTCCTTGGATCCCCTTCTTATTCCCAGATCATTACCCCTGGGAGCCCCCAAAGCATCTCATACCAATTTGCTTCAGACATGCTTCTTACACCACTTCCATCCTTTTTTATTACAATAATCCAGGCCACCTTCTTATCTCCACCCTAACTGGCTTGCTTTCATCTTAATCTATTTTACAGCTGCCTTCAATGACCTCAAATGCAACTAGACCTCCGCTAGTCCTCTGTCTGCAGCTCTTAGGGGCCCCGTCACCTGGGGACCAGCCAGAACTCCCTTATTCAGCCTGTCCAGCCTCACCTCTCTTAAAATGCAATCTTGTCTGTTAGAGCCCAGAAACTTCAACTGGCTGTTTTCTCCACATACTCTGCCATTGTTGGCCTCTGTGCCTGCTGTTCCCTGTGGAGTTACCATGGAGTTGACTGACTCACGGTGACCTCATGTGCCTCAGAGAACTATGCTATGGTTTTTATCTTAAAAAGTTTACTTTGTTGGAGATTAGTATTGCCACTCCTGCTTGTTTATTGTTGCAGTTAGCTTGGTAAATTTTTTTCCATCCTTTTAGTCTGTTTTTGTCTGTGTGTAAGGTGTGTAAGGTGACAGCATATTGATCTTGTTTTCTTATCTATTCTGCCACTCTCTGTCTCTTCACTGGTACATTCACTCCATTGACATTCAATGTAATTATCGATAGGTATGAATTAATTGCTGCCATTATGTTACTTTTTTGGTGGTGCTGTTCATTCTTTTGTTCTGCATTCCTTCTTGTATTGGGTTTATGTTTTTTGTGCTATTTCTTGTCGGTTTCTTCTTAGTTTCCATGTTCGCTCGTTCTGCTTGGGAATTCATTTTTATGGTATGTTGTGAAGTATTAGCTTTCTTTGGGGTTACCTTGTAGTCTACTAACTTTTCTTTGCATTTAAGATACTCCATTGTAGCCTATAATTTACCTGGCATCCTCACCACCTGGGTCTCTGTTGCTAAGTTTGTCCCTTCTTTGACATTGATATTTTTGGTCTTCAGTTGATCTCCCAGCTCGTTTGAGTTTGTTGTTATAGTCTTGTTCTGTTCTGGACTCTGCATCTGTTGACTGAGTTCCTGATGGTGTTGCCACGCCTGTCAATCTCTGTTGTCTGTTCTTGTTGGTTTTCAGTCCACAGAATTCCCTTTAGGATGGTTTGAAGTGCTGGGTTGGTTTTGATAAAATCTCTGATTCTGCTTATCCTGGAATGTTTTGATCACACCGTCATATTTGATTGATAGTTTTGCTGGATAGATGATTCTTGGTTGACAGTTTTTTATCTTGCAGGGCTTTTTGTATGTCTCCCCATTGCCTTCTTGCCTGCATGATTTGTTCTGAATAGTCAGAGCTTAATCTAATTTGCTTGCCTTTGTAAGTGACATTTCTCTTCTCCCTGGCTGCTTTTAGTATTCTTTCCTTGTCTTTGATTTTGGAGCACTTGATTATTATATGTCTTGGAGACTTTCTGGGGTATGTTCGGCTTCTTGAATGTTTATCTTCTCGAACATCTTTCAAGATGTTAGGGAAGTTTTCTTCCAGAAGCTCTAAAACTATCTCCTCTGTGGACTTCTCTGATTCTTCTTGTTCCAGAATGCAAATAATCCTTACATTATTCCTCTTCAGGTTATCCAGCATGAATCTTAGACTCTCTTCAGATTGTTTTATCCTTTTAGCTGCTTGCTCTATCTTGGCAGTTATTGAGAGATTTGTCTTCCAACTTGCTAGTTCTGACTTCCAGCTCTTCTAATCTGCTCCTTTCCCCTTTCAGTTTAATGTCCATTTCTGATACCTTATTGATCAGCTGGACATCTTTTTGCAGGTTTTGAATTGTTTCCAATGCTGTGTCAATCTTATTTGATGGCTCCTGTAAGACTTTTCCTTACTTTTTCCTTATCTTCCTCCACCCCTTTTCAGAGCATTTGATTTTCTTTCCATATCATTCTTCTGAATTCCCTCTCAGGCATATCCAGAACCCGCTCTTCCTCCTCTAAAAACCTTTGTCTGTTTCTAGCTCATTTGCAACAGCTACTCTCTTCTGTTTTTGGACGTGTTTCAATAAGATTTGTTGCTTCTTATTCATCATGATTATTATTTTTGTTATTTTTATTTTTTTAAGTTTAAGTGAATGCTTGAACGTTGGTTGTTTGATTACTGGGTGTCTCCTGGTGAATATGATCAGGAGATAGGCATCCCTTATCACCTGTAATGCTTAGCAGGAATTGTTAGGTCTTGTCTCAGTGGTGGAATATTATGGGGTATGTTTATAGCTTGGCTATATGGCCATGATTGCTGCCTCTTAGGTAACATAGGGAGGAAAAGCTCCCACCTCCAGGAAAGATGTGTGATCAAAAAGGTCCAAAAGCAGAAGTAATATAAACACATAGAAAAAAATCACCACTATGCAGCAGAAATGAAGCTGTGGTCGACTGTCCCGTGCTACACCATCAGTGTGTGTGCAATTAGAAGTCTCCAGCGGGGAGGGGTGGGGTGAGGTGGAGGTGACCCCTCTCTCAGGCTCTTCCTCTAGTCACTACTGTATATATATGCAGGTAGATATTGGGGAGTTAATGGGAGAAAGATCATCCACTATTTTTGTCTCTGAAGGTCAATTATCTGTGTGTGCTCAGCGCAAATCTTGGAATGGTTGAGTCCTGTTATGCTGGGATTTTACAGATTGCTTTGAGTTGGTCCTGCACAGGGAGCTCCAGCAGCACAGTGGCTGCGGATTGCAAGGACAATAGCTGGAAATTCCAAGCTGCTACCTGGGAGAAAGGCGAGGTGCCCCGCCTTGGCTCAGATGCACAGCCTCAGAACCCTGCTCAGGTTGCTTGTGGAAGGAATCTATTCTGAGCTGCACTGGTGCTGGAAGTTCAGCTGGGGAGATTTTGGGTCCGCAGGTGATGTCATAGGTCGCTGCCAAGCTCCCTCTGTACAGTGGGAAAACTGTCCCACTTGATGTCCGGGCTGAGAAATGGAAGTTGGGACAGGGAGAAAGAGAGGGAGAAATGTGTAGTTTCCCACGGTGCTTTTTTTTTTTTTTTTTTTGCTGAAAGCGCTGCTTTCTGAGCCGGGCTGGCTTTAGCCCCACCCTCTAAACTATGCCGAGGCAGGGCAGTCCAATCTCCAGATTCCTAAGTCTTCTGTATTTTCCTTAATATTGTAATTTTTTCACTTGCAAGTGTGGGAAACTCATGTCTTGGATCTTATGGTAGATCCGGAGCTCTGGAGTTGTTCTATGAGCGCCTTCCTTCATGAGATCCCCTTTCCTTCTTACCGGAGCATACCCTACCTAGTATTTGGCGGCTGTAGCCCTACCGGAAGTCAGAACCATGTTATGGACCATAGAATTTTCGATGGCTACGTTTTCAGATGCACATAGCCAGGGATCTCTGTGATTGAATTTGAACCTCCAACCTTTTGGATAGCAGCCAAGTGTGTTAATACTTTGCATCACCCATGGACTCCTCCCTTTGCCTTGTTGTTCTTAGTGCCATAGAATGAGTTCCAACTCAGAGTAAGCCTGTATAGGGTTTCTGAGCAGTTCAGTGCTGATCCTACAGCAGCATACCAGGACTCCTCCTCCCTTTGTCTAGCATGCCCTTATCCTTTAAGACTCAGACCACCCCTCCTCCAGGAAGGTACCTCTGAATGCTCCCTCAGAGCCCTGGTTGGCAGTCTACACACAAAGCCACCTAAAGCACCAAGTGTCTCTCATGGGCATACAAACCCAAGAATTTAATAAGTGGGGAGATTATTTCCCATTTCATAGAGGTTAAACTTTGATTACACACTGGCTAGATAGATGCTTGTTTGTTGTTTAAGATGAAAGTGACATCAAACTCAGTGTACTGAGTGTCTGTTGCATGTCAGGCTCTGTGCTGGATGCTTCTGAGATGTGCCTGATAGGTGCACTGTGCGGATCACCTCTCCATTCTTTCTGGTCCAAGGAACAAGAGTGAACTTCTAAGGATTAATGAGCATGGAGGGAAATCTGTTTGTTGTTGTTATGCTTTGTTTTATTTTCTCTCTCTGTCCTCCAGCCAGTAGGCCCAGGTCACAGAAGTAGTCATAGGAACTGTATGGCAGAGCAGGCAAACTAAGGCCTGGAGGACGGGGAAGGTGTCGAGGAGGCTGCAGAGATGAGGAGCTCAAGAGAGAGAGCCTACACCATGCAATGTTATAACACTCAGTTTGAGAGATCCATGAGACGCCCATGGGGAGGTGCCAAGCAGCAGTCAGGGAGGCCGGAGATCTGAGTTCCAAGGAGAGGCAGGAGCTAGAGGAGAACCGTGCTCTCACTCAGTGTCAAGAGGAGAAGGTCCGGGTCATAGTCTTGTAGAGAAGGAAGAGCCACCATAGATACATGCTTTTAATTGAATAGATACATGTATGTATACATGTAACATGTATGTATTTAATTCAAAGCAAGAAGCACTGGCGAGTATGTTGCTGAATACATATTAGTACTTATTGCTTTGACCTGAATAGACTCTATCATACAAAGTGCTCCCATTTCAGGCAAAAACTGGTTTAGTAAGTAAACTGCTTCAGGAGCTGTCTTTCCTAAGATAACGAAGTTCAATAGGAATTCAACCCCAAGCCTCCACTCACATTTACATAAAGCTCCTCCCAGATGTCAGATGAAGTCCTGGTGTGGCGCTGCAGGTTAATGCGTTTGACTACAAGGTTGGCGGTTCAAGCTCACCATTCGCTCCTTGGAAACCCTATACAGGGTTGCTATGGCCCAGAACCAACTCCATGGCATTTAACAACAACAACAAAGATGTCAGATGGGAGGCAGATTAATTAGAAAATAAATAAAAGAGAAACCAAAAAAAGGCTTTAGAACAAAATTGTTATTATATTACAACTGAGCAGGTTCTGACTCATACTGACCCTGTATGGGAACACCTGCTGGGTCTGAACAGCCAACCTTGCAGTTATCAGTCTAGTGCTTATCTGACAGTGCCACACTAAGGTCCCAGAGGAAACTTAGTGGTCTTGTGCCGTGCAGTTGGTTCGGACTCACAGCGACCCTGTATAGGGTTTCTGAGGTTATAAATCTTTATGTGAGCAGAAAGCCTCATTTGTCTCCCACAAAACAGCTAGCTATGCTACCAGAGCTCCTTGGTACTATTTAATTGTTCAACAGTATAGAAGGGAGTGTGATGGATCTATAAGATAAGTTGTTGTTGTTAAGTACTGTGGAGTCGGTTCCAACTCATAGTGACCCTGCACAGGGTTTCCGAGGTTGTAAATCTTTACAGGAGCAGAATGTCTTATCTTTCTCCTGTGGAACCGCTGGTAGTTTCCAACTGCTGACCTTGAGGTTGGCAGCCTGTCTCGTAACCACTACACTAACAGTGGACTGAGAACTGTAAGTTCAGCAGTTTGAATCCACTAGATGCTCCACCAGGGAACTAAGTCTTTCAGAAGATGAAAGATGAAGAAAATGAAACTTTGCAGGCTGTCCTTTACTCCCACTGTTAAAGGAATGAGAAAAGTTTTCCTCTCCTGGCCAGGGTGTTGGAGCTGAGTAGGAGGCTGGGCAGCCCTACACACTGCACAGCAAACAGACCTCAGAATATGGACAGGGCCCATGTTACCCAAGCTGGCACCTGGCCTCCAGGAAGAGTTGCTCCCTCTTGTGCCAAGGTGCTGGAGCTGTCCCCTGGTCATCCGAGCTGTGAAAGATGGCATGGAGCCAAGGGTCGACGTCAAGGCAATTTCCAAGCTTTGTGACAGCTTCTGCTCATGGGATACTGGACCTGTTGAGAGACGCACAGACCACAACATCCAAAGGTTCAGCAAATGAGGACAAGCTACTCACTTCCAACTTCAAAGAGGCATAACTGTAAAGAAACTGCTTCCTAGTGTCTCCTAGTGGATTGTGGTACTAGAACACTGAGAGTTAAAACCCCGAGAACCTGGCAGTTCTTCCTCATTCCACACTCCCTTCAGGGTTCCTGGGCTCTGCTCTAGCTTTTTTGCCTCCTAGACAAATTGCTGGGCAACTGCAGGGCAGGCATGGGCCACCTTGTGGTTCAACTTCAGAACTGCATCCTGCTTTCTAAAAGCCTCTCTGAAGGCCAAGGAAATGACAGGGAGCAATCAAGTGCTTGCCTACCTTTATATTCCCTCACCCTACTTTCCCTCCCATCCCCTCCAGCAGTCTTGCTCTTCTCTTCCCCAGTCCCATCACCCTGTGCTCTCTAGGCATTTATTTGCACCTTTGCACCCTCTCTCCTACTAAGTAGAGCAAGTAGTTATTACCAAGATGTGGGCCACCAAGACTTCACTCTGCCTGCTCCTAAGCTCTGGGAACCTGTGTGTGAGCACAGGAAGAAGGAAGGACCAGTTGTCTGAATAAGGATGTAGGGTCCTATAAAATTCATGAGACTGCCCCAAAGTGGGGAGTGGAGCTTTGTTTGTAGGGCATTAACTTGGAGCCTTGGAGCACTGGTCAGCATGGTTCTGTGTCACCAATGAATCTGTCAGGCCAGTGCTACAAATAGACAAGGGGTTGGAGGACCTTTCCCCACCTCTTGCCCCACTGTACCTCCAATGATTCCAGGAGCTCCTGGGATCATATTAAATATAAAATCAGAGTACTAACTGCATAGGCGTTTTTAAGTTAAGAGAAAACAAAAAGAAACATAAAATATAAACAAACTAATTTTCATTAATAAAAACTGAAAGAGCTAACCTCCATAAAACACCAGGCCCTGACAATCCCAGGGGGATCCTATTGTTGTTAAGTGCCATGGAGTCAGTTCCAACTTATAGTGTCCTGAATAGCATTTCTGAGGAGCATTTGGTGGATGTGAACCACCAACCTTGCAGTGCTCATCCTACAGTGCCACACCAAGACCAGAATGGGAAACTAGTACTATTTAAATTGTTCAAAAGTATAGGAGGGAGTGAAGAGTCTCTATAGAATACTGAATGGTATTCCACAAAGTCGGAAGTTTTCAAGCCCACCAGCTACTCCATGGGGGAAAGATGAGGCTTTCACAAAAGATTTAGAGTCTCAGAAACCCTATAGGGGGTCGCTGTGAGTTGGAACTGACTCAACGGCACTTAACCAACAACAGTAAGGAAAAAGACAAATTCCAAATTCTTTTTATGAAGCAAGTATATCATTGATACCAAACTTGATCAAGCACCACACACAAAACTATAGTCCAATCTCACTAATAAATACAAAACTTCTAAACAAAATACATTAAAAGAATCATAATGTAGTTTATTCCAGGAATGTAAAAGTGACCCATTCAATATTAGGAAACCTAAAAATGTACTTAACATATTAAATATCTCCAAAGAGACTGAAGAGGCAATAGACAAAATTGAACCTCTAATCTTGGAAACCCTATATACAGTCAGGACTGACTCGATGGCACTTAACGACGACAACAATTTTGGATAAAAACAAGGAATCCAGTAGTACCAGAAATAGCCTTTGGGTATCCCTTACCCTTTAGTGCAGGCTGGACTTTGTGACTTGATTATGAAACTGTAAAAATGACAAGTTGTCATGTCCAAGATGAGGTTATTGAAGACTATAGTGATTTCCATCTTGCTTACACAGTCTGTCTTTAGCCCTTCCTGCTTACTCTGATGAAACAGCATTTTGTGAGTTGCCTGTGGAGAGGGCCATGTGGCAGAGAACTGAGGGCAGCCTCCAGCCCAGAAGGAATTGAACCCTGAAATAATGTTGGAGAGACAGGAAAGTGAGCCCTTTCCAAGGCAGGTCTTGAGATGACCACACTGACTTTAGCTTGGAGGATCTAGACAAGTTAATACTTGGATTCCTGACCACAGAACCTGTAAGATTATGAATGTTTGTTGCATTTAGCCATTAAATTTGGGAGTACTTTGTTATGTACTAACAGGAGTCCTGGTGGGCGCTGTGGTATAATGCATCAGACTGCAAAGTTGTTTGAACTGCAAGGTCCATCAACCTTCAAGCTCACCAGCTCCTCTTTGGAAACCCTATACAGGGTCTTTATGGGTCAGAATTGACTCGATGACACTTAACAACAACTAACAGATAACCAATGTAAAAGGGCACTTCATTAATTTCTGTAAGACAAGCCACAGCCCAAAGCCAAAGTGGGGCTAATACCAGTATTGAGGCGTTCACAAGGAAATGAAAACAAGTTAGGAATGCTCAGGATCAGCTGTATTTAACACTGTGCCGGAGAAACTAGTCAAATCACTGATTAACACAAGAGAAAGATATGAGAGGTTAAAAACCATTAGAAAAAGAATATAAAATGATAACTCTATTATTATGTGGTTGTACTGGAGAGGCAGCTAAAAAATGACTATGTTGTTAAGTGCTGTCGAGTTGGCTCCGACTCATAGCGACCCTATATAGGGTTTCCAAGGAGTGGTTAGTGAGTTGGAGGGAGGGGCTGGAGGATTAAACCACTGACCTTGTGGTTAGTAGTCCAGTTCTTATCCTTTAACACTATACCAGGACTCCAAAAATGACTATAGACAAAATAATTCAGTATGGTGGTGGTGTGCTATGGAGTCAGTTCCGATTCATAGCAACCCTGTACAGGTTTCTGAGGCTGTGAATCTTTATGGGAGCAGAAAGCCTTATCTTTCTTCTGTGGAACAGCTGGTACTTTTGAACTGCTGACCATGAGGTCAGCAGCGAGACTTGTAATCACTATTCTAATCAAAGCTCCTAATTCAGTATGGTATTGGGATACAAATATATAGATCCAAGAAGAGGGAGATAGCAGAAGAATGATGAAGACAGGTGGAAGACATAGTAGGGAGGTATGCAAGAGTTAAAGAGGATAGAAGTAAATAGTGTTACATATACAACCTTGGAACAACAGTGTTCTACAGGTACATACATGGACACATATACACAGGCTGAACGGGTAGTATGGGAGGAACAGGCAAGTATATCCACAAATATATAAGGGTTTATAAGAGGGTATGTGTACATGGGTATTTACCTTTGCTGTACACACAACTATGAATGTGGTAAGAGCATACAACAGGCGAAACAATTTAAACTTATTAGATATTATCAAACATCTAAAGACAATGAATTGCTGGTCCTGGGGACTCAGGGGATACCATGGTCAGTTGGTATAACAGAGTCCACAAAGACAATGTTCTATCTATATCCTACTTTAGTGAGTAGCATCTGGAATCCTAAAGGCTTATGAGTGGCCATCTAAGGTGCAACTATTAGTCTCTCCACGTGCAGAAGAAAGAAGAGTGGTCAGAATTAAAAATGCTTGAAATCAATTAGTCCAATGAACTAATGGAACATCAGTCTCCACAATTCTGAGACCAGAAAAAATAGATGGTGCCCAGCCACCAACAGCTCTGAAAGCAGTGACATTAAAAGATCCCATATGGAATAGGGGAGTCCTGGTGTGGCGCAGTGGGCTAATAATGCGCCAGACTGAAAAGCTGTTTGAACTGCGAGGTCAGCAGTTCAGGCTCACCAGCTGCTCCTCAGAAACCTTATACAGGGTGGCTGTGGGTCAGAACCGACTCGACAGCACTTCACAACAACACAACAATGTATACAATAGGAGAAAATGTGGGAAAAAACTCAAAATTTAAACAACAACAGAAATGGGTATACTGATCAGAAAGAGACTGAAGAACCTAAGACTATAGCCCTGGACCACCCTTAAGTCCAGAAAGGAACTAACCCTGATGACCCCACTTTCAGGCAGGTAGTAAGGTATGTTCACCATGGAATGGTCAATCATTCTAAATCAAAAGGGCAACATTTACATAAAGACAAAGTTGAGAAGAGGTGGGAAGGTGGATGGAATGGAAATAGGAACCACGGGTAAGAAGTGGAATAACTGCTGTTGCGTGGAGGGGATTGCAGTGATTGAGGTGAATGAAGCAAGGTGTGTGATCTGCTGAATGCAAAACTAATGATCTTGTCTTACGCATTCACTAGATTCACAAAAGGTTAAAAAAAAAAAAAATTGAGAGAGATCAACAGCTTTTACACATTTAAACAAAAATCAGAAAATAAAGGAAGAAAATGGAAAATGCTCTATTTAGAATAGTTTCAAAAGAAAAAAATAAAACCCAGGATTTAACTCAGTAGGAAAACTGAAAATCCTTAAAACAAGAAACTTTAAAACAATGGAAGGACACAAAAGAAGGCCTCAGTAGAAAGACATGCCACTGAAAAACAGTCAATATAGAGATCAACTCTCAGCTTATTTATACATTTAATATCCCAATGCTCTGGTAGCTTAGTGGTTATGAATCGGGCTGCTAACCTCAGGGTCAGCAGTTTGAAACTACCAGCTATTATTCCATGGGAGAAAGTTGAGGCCTATTGCTCCTGTAAAGATTTACAGAGTTGGAAACTGTGCAGGGTTGCTATGAGTTGGAACCAACTCCATGGCACACAACAACCAACCAATAGTAGAAATTAAACGTGAATTCACAAAGATCCTAGAAACAAATGAGAACAAAAACACAACATACCAAAAAGAATAAAGAACCAAAATTTACACATTAACACATCATCTACAACAATTAGAAACAGACCAACAGAGGGAACCTAAAGCCACCAAAAGAAAAATAATATAGAGCAGAAATAAATGAGATCAAAAACAGAAAAATTACAGAAAGAATTAACGGGACAAGATGGTTCTTTGAGAAGATTAGCAAACCTAACAAAAGAAAAGAGGGAGAAGAGACAAATAACACATTAGAAACCACATGGACGATGTCACAATGGAACCAAACAAAATCA